GTAACAAGTAATTTGATAGAACCAACAGCAAACAATTTATAAAACAGATTTTAACATTATCAATGTAATTAAATTTTATAAACTTAATTTGTAAGATAAAAATTGTTTATATTAATCTTATTATAGTTGATATTTGATCTTAAATACAAATTCTCGTGTAGACCTATAAAGTGTTAAACATTTACAAGCTATTATCTATGGAGTTAAACTAGACTCAAATCAAATTTTAAAAATAACTTTAAGAGATTGTAATACATACATTAAAAAATAATTGACATTTTTCTTTATATTAAAACTATTATAATTTGTTATAATTCATTCATATCTCTCGTTTTTCATTCATATTATTATTTTTATTTCTCAGCATGCATATAATTAAAATTAATAAGCTATTTTGGAAAGTTTAAAAATATAAATAAATAAATGATAGAATCAAACGAAAGATATTATTACTTCGGAAGTAGTACTTTCCGTTCCCACATTAAAAACTAATTTTACATATTACATTAAATTTTATTAATATTTTATTTTATTTTTTAAAAAATCCTTCTCATAAAATTAAACATGTGATCTGATAACGTAACCAAAGATCGATTGAATTCAAAATATTTGTTAAACAATGTAAGATAATTAAAAAGAATATTTAAAAATAAATATTCTTTTGTTATGAGTAGTAAATGACGTTTACCTTTGTTTATTAATTGAGCACGGATACATTGATACTATGCTATTTTTTAATTATTTTTTCCAAAATTACTTTTTTATTTTTAATAAATATTAAAAAAAATGGGATCCACAATGTCATTTGAACGTGAAAAAGTAAAGAGGCGTGTCAAAGTATTATTTTTGTTATTAATTTTGAATTTCTAGGCTCTTGAGTAAGCTGGAGGGTGTCAATGATTGATTATATTTTATGGCATGAGCTTCCTGTTCTTACGAGGCAGAACATGTCTCAATTTCCAAGGCACGTCCAATTCCTACGGTGGAACCAAAACTTTTTCGTTGCATTCTTCATTAATGTTTTTTTTTTTTTTTAAATGCCTTTGATTAATGTTTAAACGTGCCATGTTCGAAGAACTTCTGTTAATTCATTGAGCCATAAATTACCCTCTAACTCCACTTTGAGAAAACATAACACATGTTATCGTGTTAGTTTTTCACATAAAATATATTTGTATGTAGTTAGAAAATGTTTTATTTATGTTGATACCGAAGAAATATTTTAAAATTATTTGGCCATCGAAAAATATATTATAAATTAATTAATCAAGTAATTTTATAAACTAAAATATATTATTGAAAATATTTAATGAAGAGCACTTTCCTATTATAACTTAAAGTTATATATATTATAAAAAAAAATATTGATATAATTAAGAAGTGAATTTTAAGTCAAATTTAATTTATAAAAAAAAAATTATAAAGTAAGATTTATGCTAAGTAATATATTTTAAATTGATGTTATTTTTAACTAACGTGAAATTGTATATATATTTATAACGAAAACGAATTGTAACTCAACTTTACTTATAATAATAATGGTAATATTTCAAGAATTTTAATTAAGAAAATGGATTTAGTATATCATATAGGGAAAANTTAATGTTCTTAATAGAACAAATTATGATATTTATTTTACTTTAAGTTAGACATATTTTATATTTTCCGTATGTGGTATCATTTGTTATTTGCATAATTTTTCTTTCAAGGTACGTACGTACAAAGGGTATTTTGTTTTTCTTTGAATAACATTGCTTCTTGCATATTATATATGTTGCCCCACACGTTTGGTTAACGACCTTATATTTCTTTTAAGACTCTTTTCATCCCGTTATTAAATTACAAGTTACATATTTTTATTCCCGTTCCTTGATAAGTATACCCTAAAAAATGTTAATTCATAATCTTCCTGTGTAATAGGGAAAGGAACACTCTTCTAATTTATATATATTCATATTCTCTAGTTAGTTATCTTCCATTAAAATATATACAACATGAAGCTTTTGTTTGTTAAATAAATAGATTGTAAGCATTAAATTTATTTTTTAAATATAGGATAAGCATTATCACATTTGTTTACACGATTAAATATTTACAAGTTTGCAAAGACTAAAATTTTGTAGGCAGATTGTTAATAATTCAATAAAGAGGTCCATCAAAATCAATAAGATAAAATGTAGTGTTTCGGATGTGTAGGGTTGTGTCGTCCAATGTCTCCACGTCCTCCTCTGCTGGTACTTAGTGTGTCCGGTCCTCCGTACTCGCTCCTCAATTTCTTCCTCAATCCGCGGGTGGGAGACCTGCGAAAGATTCTCCGATGCCAAAGTCAGTTGAGAATGGCGTTTTTCTATCGAACAATAATAAATGTGCAGTAAATGCAACCTATCTACCACTCACCCTGGATCTGTATTTATAGTTTTCGCTATGGGCTTGGGATTAGTGAAAAGTTAATCACGACCCAAATTCAGCCCAATAGCTCTTAACCTCAACTTACCTTAAACCTGGTTAATTAGCGGTATGACCGGTCGGTCTCCTAAAGTTCGGCTTGTGGACCAGCCGACCCCTATAGGCGGCATGTGTAGCAAACAGAATGTCCGGCCGACCTTTTAGTGTATCCGGATGACGGGGTAAGGTCGCGTGATCTCGGACGCCTGGACGTCCGGTTTGTTGTATCGAACCTTCGATGATGAACCAAAGAGTAGCGTGTTTGGTCCAGTGCAGATGTCCGGCCTATCTGGCGTCCGGTCCCCACTGGTACATGTAGCATCATCTTAGAATCCACTTTTGAACCTAATTTAATCCACTGATTTGTTAAATAATTATGATCTCTATCTTACAAAAGCATTATGTTTCTCGTATACTAGTCAAAGTTGATTTCAAACACCCACGAGAGTTGAGATTGCAAAATTAAACATTTGTAAATGGATTAATAACAATTTGATGATATTCAATTAATTAGAACTAGGTAACAAGTAATTTGATAGAACCAACAGCAAACAATTTATAAAACAGATTTTAACATTATCAATGTAATTAAATTTTATAAACTTAATTTGTAAGATAAAAATTGTTTATATTAATCTTATTATAGTTGATATTTGATCTTAAATACAAATTCTCGTGTAGACCTATAAAGTGTTAAACATTTACAAGCTATTATCTATGGAGTTAAACTAGACTCAAATCAAATTTTAAAAATAACTTTAAGAGATTGTAATACATACATTAAAAAATAATTGACATTTTTCTTTATATTAAAACTATTATAATTTGTTATAATTCATTCATATCTCTCGTTTTTCATTCATATTATTATTTTTATTTCTCAGCATGCATATAATTAAAATTAATAAGCTATTTTGGAAAGTTTAAAAATATAAATAAATAAATGATAGAATCAAACGAAAGATATTATTACTTCGGAAGTAGTACTTTCCGTTCCCACATTAAAAACTAATTTTACATATTACATTAAATTTTATTAATATTTTATTTTATTTTTTAAAAAATCCTTCTCATAAAATTAAACATGTGATCTGATAACGTAACCAAAGATCGATTGAATTCAAAATATTTGTTAAACAATGTAAGATAATTAAAAAGAATATTTAAAAATAAATATTCTTTTGTTATGAGTAGTAAATGACGTTTACCTTTGTTTATTAATTGAGCACGGATACATTGATACTATGCTATTTTTTAATTATTTTTTCCAAAATTACTTTTTTATTTTTAATAAATATTAAAAAAAATGGGATCCACAATGTCATTTGAACGTGAAAAAGTAAAGAGGCGTGTCAAAGTATTATTTTTGTTATTAATTTTGAATTTCTAGGCTCTTGAGTAAGCTGGAGGGTGTCAATGATTGATTATATTTTATGGCATGAGCTTCCTGTTCTTACGAGGCAGAACATGTCTCAATTTCCAAGGCACGTCCAATTCCTACGGTGGAACCAAAACTTTTTCGTTGCATTCTTCATTAATGTTTTTTTTTTTTTTTAAATGCCTTTGATTAATGTTTAAACGTGCCATGTTCGAAGAACTTCTGTTAATTCATTGAGCCATAAATTACCCTCTAACTCCACTTTGAGAAAACATAACACATGTTATCGTGTTAGTTTTTCACATAAAATATATTTGTATGTAGTTAGAAAATGTTTTATTTATGTTGATACCGAAGAAATATTTTAAAATTATTTGGCCATCGAAAAATATATTATAAATTAATTAATCAAGTAATTTTATAAACTAAAATATATTATTGAAAATATTTAATGAAGAGCACTTTCCTATTATAACTTAAAGTTATATATATTATAAAAAAAAATATTGATATAATTAAGAAGTGAATTTTAAGTCAAATTTAATTTATAAAAAAAAAATTATAAAGTAAGATTTATGCTAAGTAATATATTTTAAATTGATGTTATTTTTAACTAACGTGAAATTGTATATATATTTATAACGAAAACGAATTGTAACTCAACTTTACTTATAATAATAATGGTAATATTTCAAGAATTTTAATTAAGAAAATGGATTTAGTATATCATATAGGGAAAAATTTTTCAAAAGTTCTCATTCTATACAAAATCATTTTTCATCTAATCCCCATAACATTCAAGTTTGAAACAATCGTTACCTTAATCTTAAAATTCGAAACCGGTTCAAAGGTTTTGATACAAAAAAATTCTTTACATTGTAAATACCTTAAAAAAGACTTCAAATATTTTAAATTTCTCTAAAAATGCCTTCATATAAATCATAAAATTAAAATAAATATTTATATTGTTTTTGTCTTCAACATAATCTCTTTTATCTGTGATAGAGTAATAACCTAAAGATATAACTGTGACAAAAGTTCAACTTCACTGTAAATTGATATCCATAATCAGAAACTAGCAAAACTGAGATGAGATTCGACGTTGCACATGTTGCTTCAATCTAGATTATCGAGTTGAAACATTATTTGTTCAAAGTTACGCATCACGACTCCATAATTATCTGCTGTGAATCCACCACAAGAGATTAGAGAATGAGTTTCCATCTTCAAAAGCTGTCAACGTTCTTATGTTACGCAATGCTGTTTGCTTATCGTAAATTCCCTGCAAGGCATAGGTCATTCCCTTCCAACTCTGACTACTTAAAGATGGAAATGTCCATTCCACAAGCTCCTTCACATAAGCAGCATCAGAGAACAATGTCTCAGTGATAGGCGACAAGGGTAGCACTTGGATTCCAAGTCTGCACTCTCTGCATGTAGCAGCCGCCCACCATAATGCACTATCCCTCTTATTAGACCACAGAACACCAACTATCCTATTGTCTTTTGCAAATTCTTTATTGTACAAGTTGTCTTCAACTTTCACATGCCACCAAGTTTGTGTAGCGAGAATTTCCATCGCCAGTAGCGTTGATCCAGTGGCAACAAGATGTGAGTCACCGTATGCTAAACCCACCAAAGCTGCTGAGTAGTACGCATTCACAGCTTCACTTGTACTTTCTTGGTTCCGTCCGTCACCAAATTCTGTCAGCCCTGAAGCCCAAGAGTGTAACCTGTAGAGGTCAAAACACCTTAGACGTGGATAATGAGCGTTTTGTTCGTCCAAGTTCATAAAATCTGACAAAAGTGCATAAACTTGTGGCTTGTATTTGTTTCCCCACTCGTTGTCGATCTTTGCTAGAACCGCAATTCCGTAAAGAAAGTACCCCAAATGGTAATGGTGATCATTGTACACTCCAAACCCAAAATCAGCGCGTGAATCAGTTGACCCCATTTTCGTTACAAGTCCACCCCATTTTTTTTCATATAGAAAACCATTCCCTGGGAATGTTCCATCCAACCAAGGCTCAATATTCTTCTTCAGAAACTCCTTAATGTTGGGAATCACGTTTGGAAAAGACACTTCTTCCGCTATCAACGCCAACCTTGCAGCCCTTGCAATAAGTTTCCCATATGCGTAGGAGGATGCCGTTGCTATTGGAGATAGTGCTTGAACATCCTTGGAAAATACTGAGACAATTTCCTGAAATGACGCTTTTTCCACGCCTTTGTTAGAATGCCATGTCACGGGAATAGGATTCATTTGCAACTTCCATGAATCTCCGACAACGCCAACAAGATCACCATCAATGCTACTATACTTAAAATCATGCAAAATGGCAATATTACCAGTTTTATTATTATTTGATAAAAGTTTAACATGAAGAGGGTGAGCCAGCATGAGCAAATCCCCAGAACCTTCCTTTTTCCATTGATACACCAAACGGAAAGGATCCTCTAGTTTTGCATTACCCGATGAAGGGTAGCTAGAGCTGAACTTGTCGAGAACTGCCATATTGTTGGGGTTGTCATGAGGCAACGCTGCTACACGGATGATGCCAGAAAATGGTTTCGATGTAACCTGAGAAGCACCAAGCGTGTTCAAAGAGATTGGGGAGTCGGTGTATATGAGCCATGTCTGAGTGTTGTTGAGCTCAAGGGTGTACTTGGTGTTTTTGTTATTACTGGGAGATAAAGAGAGTATGGTGTGCACCGTTGTGATAGAAAGAGATGTTGAAGATTTGACGGAAGCAGTTATAAAAGGGCTTCCTCTTGAGAGAAAGAACCTGAGATTGGAGGAGGGAATGTCCAAGGTGACACCAAGGTCACTGTGGGATGAGATTACATGGTTTTGTTGAGTTGAAAGTGTTTGAGTAGAAGAGATTGTGAGATCGGGCACAAAAGTTTGGTACAAGACTGCTGCAGTGAAGAAGAGAAGAGGGTATGAGGCAGATAGTGAGGACTTTGAGGTTTGGATGAGGTAGGGATGAATATACTCAGGTTTTGATCCGTTTGAAAGAACAAAGTTTTGGAAAAAAGAGTTTGTGGGAAGTGGAGATGAAAGAAGGTTTGAGGAGAAGTAAGTTGAAGGGTCTGGGAGAACTGTGGATTGAGTTTGAGGGAACACAAAAGGGGAAGAAGAAGACATTGTTGTATGGAAGAGCAAAAGGATTCGTTGATCCGTATGCAATCTTGTATGTTGCCTCCTATATATATAAGAGATTGTTTAGAACATGCAGATTGAGATTGGAATCTCCATAAGGAAAGAAAAAGCTTAAATACTTTTATTCCTATTGTCGTTGACTTTGTTAATGTGCATATTCACTTTTTTTTCCATATTTTAACGTGGCTCTTATTTTGATATATTATGTTTACTTTGTTCTTCTTTTTCTTGTTTAAATAGTTAATGGAAGATAAAATAATGTGCTACGTGTTGATGTGATTTTTTTTTAATTTTTTTAATTTTAAAAAAATTATTCACTTTAACTTTGTATCATGCAACAATATTAATTTGACATGTGAAGTCGATTTCAATGTTATGTCCGAAGTCAATTTTAGTGTTACGTAAGTCAATTTTAATATTATGTGTAAGTCAATTTTAATATTGTCTGTGTCTTATATTTAATTCACTTATAATTTTCATTAATTTTGTTAATTTAGTTCAAATTTCGTTAATTTTGTTCTATTTAGACTTAATTTTCAATTTTAGAAAAAAAATTTCATCACTTTTAAAATTTTCAAATTAAATGAAAAACTGTTCATTATTTTTAAAATTAAATGAAAATTTCTTATTATTTTTAAAATTAAGAGAAAATTTCCTCATTATTTTCAAAGTTATAAGAATTTTTTTTTTCAATATTTTTAAAATGAGATTAAAAATTCATCATTATTTTTAAAATTAAAAGGAAAATCTGTCTTATTTCTAAAATTAGAAGGAAAATTTTTCGTATTTTTAAATTAAAAGGAAAGTTATTCATTATTTTTAAAATTAAAAGGAAAATTAATCATCATTTTTAAAATTAAAGGAAATTTCTTCATTATTGTTTTTAAAATTATAAGGACAATTATTCATCAGTTTAAAAATTTAAAGAAAAATTCTAATTTATTTCTATAAATAGAACGAAAATCCTTTATTATTTTTAATTGGATGACGTGGTATTGGGTGTCATTTCCTCGAAAACCCTTGGCTCTTTTTCTTCCCTTTCTCGAACAAACCATGCTTGGAGGGACTCTTTGGCTAAGGAGGGTGTCTTCTCCTTCCCCTTTCTTTGGTTCTTATTCGGCTTGTGCAAGGGGGAAGGAACCTTTCTTCTTTCCCTTTTCTCGTTCTGGAGGATGTTTTCCGTAGGGAGGGGATGTGAGTTCCTACGGCAAGCGTGACCTCCATTCTCGCGACACCGCAAGTATCACGGTGGTGGCGTCTTTGCAGCGCGGGGGTTTGCGGTCTCCGCGGTTTCAACCTATTTTTAAAGTTAGACAAAAATTCTTCATTATTATTATATGATCATCCAAGAATTTTAACTTATTTTTAAAGTTAGAAAAAGAAAATTTCATTATTATTGTTAATCCCATCCTAACCCTACTTTTAATAGGTAGAAAAACTCAAACATTAATGTAATAGTTATATTCTAGTTAGAATTGGTTTTAAAATAATGAATAAATATTTAATAAAAATGTGAATTTTATAAAAATTTAATTTAATCTCAAGTAAGGGAAAAAGTAAAAATAAATTAAAAAAATTAACAAAAATTAGATTGAATTGAATATAAAACACTCACACATTATATAATTAAAACAAAACCAGATTGACATTGACACGTGTCACACACTATTCCTATGTTTATTAGCAATTGAAATAATTTAAAAAAAAGACCACATTGAATGTCTAGGAAAAAAAGTCTTACATAAAATAAAATCAACAAAAATAAAAATCAAAATAGTATTTAAGACAATAAAAAATCTAATGTACAATATTTATTATTAAATGAAACTTTTCAAAAAGAAAACAAAAGTTGTGATTTTCGTATTCCTTACTCAACAAATTGTTATGAAAAATGTTTGTACACTCCATTTTGGGTAGAGAGGTGATCAAACAAAAAAAAAAGAGTGAAGGAAGGGAAAGGAACAAATTAATAAACGTGATTTATGGAGATGAATTGAAACTAAATGTATAATAATAAGATTAGTTTGATTGATTTATTTAATTTTTATTTTTAAAATAAAAATGTGATAAGTTTTTATATTATTTTTCGTGAACTATTTTGGATTAGATAGATCCAAATCCGTATATTTTATTTTTGTAGTGAAAATTAAGGATGTTAGAATTTAAATTTGAGTGAGAAGTTTCATTTTGAATAGAAATAAAAAAAATGAGTGATATATTAGACAAGAAAGAGGAACAAACATTTTATCTTAATGTTTTATGTTAAAAACTGTGAGTGTGAGAGAGAGAAAAAGAGAAAGAGAAGGAAAGAGAAAAACAAACACATAGACCATTGTACAAGTCATTCAAGTTTCAAGCATATATTAGAATCACTATGTGTTAGGAATCTAAGTGTGAGTCTAAGTCCTACATTAGATAGAAATGAGAAAGTATAGCAGTATATAAAGGTGAAAGATCCATTAACTCACTGTCTTAAGGTTTTGGATAGACAGTGGTGTCAATCTTTTCTATAGTTGGACTCATATTTCATCGGTATTGTGTCTCATCGGAAAACCTTCTCTTTGTTAGACCCAACATGATATTTTTTTCTATAAACATTTATGTTTGTAATACTTCACATTAAATTCATCACTTCAAATCATATTTCAAATTATATATATTCATATGCACATATAACCCTTGTACTTATTTAATTAAAGAAATATACCTTTAATATAAAATACATTTCTCTTTTTCTTTCCTTGAGCAAAAGACACTTGTACTTATTTAATTAAAGAAAGATACCTTTAATATAAAATACATTTCTCTTTTTCTTTGCTTGAGGAAAAGACTTCTCTCAGCAACCAATAGTAGACTTGCAAACAAGGTGATTTTATGTTCAATTTTTGCTTAAGTAAAATTTTCGTTACTAGGATAAGTATTGATCAAAGACCAACTAACTCTCAATCTCAATCTTACTTGAACGACTAAAATCTTGTTTAAGCAAATATAGATCAAGAATACTTCTATCAATACTGCATAATATTCACTTAAGCGATAAAGCTTCACTTAAATGAAAAATTAGATTGATATCTAATCTAATTTATTGTCAAAATTTGGCTTGAACAAGAAACCCTTCACTTAACTTAAAATTTTGTGTAACCTAGTTCATAAATAACAAAAATTCCTTTTTCAATTAAAACAGTTTCAAAATTGCTATATAATCATATCAATATAATCTAATCAAACAAAACCTATTTGTACTAAACTTATTATATATTTCAACCAACCAAGATATATATATATACCACATTACTTAAATAAAAAATCAAACTAGTTTAAGATCCAGTCTAAGTAATTTGATCAAGAACTCGATAATTTTATTCACAAAATGACAAAGGGGAGCTTACTCAAACACAACTTCTCATTGAACAAAACGGTTGGATTTTTTGAAATGATGAATGACTATTTCAGAAATATTAAAAGAAGGCAAAATAAATTTGTTTTAGCACTATTTGAAAAAAAAGATAAAAGACTTTTAACATTGATTGTATTTTACATCAATTGAAAAGTAGGATGTGTTTTACATCAATTTATAATTTATAATTTTTTATGATGGATCTGAAATTTGAAACTATGCAATATGTCAACTTCCAACACTGGAAGAAGAAAGAACATTTAAAAAAAAGTGAGAACAAAAAGTTAGAGTGCTTGAGTTCATTTTTAACATCGATTTATTGTGTAAGAGATGTAATATCTCTTCCAAAAGTTTTAAATTTACTATCGCTTTCAATTTTACAGTTGTTCCATTTCCACCAATATAATATTCGGACATAAAAAAAATACTCACTTACTGACAGAGAAATAGTAATTCTATGAAATGAATTTTAAATAATTAATTTTTATAATAAAAGCAATAAGTGATAATAATAATAATAATAATATACTTTTTTTTATATAAATGACCTTCTAGTATCATTTTTAAAAACTATATAATAGGCGGGATTGGTTTAGTTTATAGTAACATTTATTTAAAACTATTATAATATTGTGTTCATGTTATTTATAGCAACGTTTATTTTAAAAAGTATTACTACAGATGTCAAATTTTTCTATGCTATCATTTTTAATAAATGTGACTAAGGAAATATTACTGAAAATGTCAAATACTATATTGATATCAATTAAAAGAAAAGGAAACATATGTAATGAATGAACTACATTCACTTATCATATGCTTGGTAGAAAAAAAAAAAGTAAAGGAGAAAAATATGAAAATAAAATACATTTGATTGAAAAATAACTTAAAAGTTTACTTATCTTTTATATAATATAAATTTTGAAAAGGTATTACTAATCTTATCAAAGAAAAGGAGAGAGGAGGGTACATTTTCAATTTACCATAATCAATAATGTCATTATAATTTATTATTCACAACATTTTCTGTTTGTTTTTTTAATATATGCTTTCATCCTTCAAATAACTTCTTTTTTCTTCTCCTTTATTCTACTTATCCTGTGCCAAACGAACTATTAGCTGGGTATATATGATTTAGGATTTATAAATAGCAATCTCCTATTGGACCCTAAAGGCCCATTCTCAAAAAATTCATTTCTTTTGACTTAAGCCCATTAGTAATAATTAACTAAACATTCTCTAATGATTAAAATAATTATTAACTCTAACTTTGTGATGTTTAATGACAGAAAAATAAAAAATAAAATAGCCAATAGGGAGAGGAGCATATGAAGAACTTTCCCATGAATTTAAAATGTAATTTTTCATGTGTACTCTAAGGTAACAACATGTTCTTTTTTTAACATTCTTTTCTCCTTGACAGTTCTGGATTTATAATGATGTTACATTATTCAGTGTGTCAATATTTGATGCTATTCTTTTCACTTCACAAAATACTGTACTTGCTCCACTTACATTTATTTTACCTTTTCCTGTTCTAAGGTACAAGATTTATAAATTTAATAAGGATAATATTATTTTTATATTCAACATTTATTATTTTATTTTTCCATCTGTCACCTTTTTTTTACAAATATAACAGTTAACTCTT